GAACAAGTGCCAAGACAGTTTAAACTGTAAGATAGTGCAGTGGTCTGAAGCGTGACGGTGCTTCCTTTGATAGGTTTTCTTGGCAGGATGGTTGCCAGTTAAATACCAAAATAGCTTATAATTTTTCTTCAGATTCAGGCTTTGCATAGGCAAGTGTTGGATACACAATTCTGTTTGAGAGTGTGAATATGAAAGTTGTGTCTCCTGTGGGCTGTTCTAGCGCCAACCATAAATACAAAATGTCACAAATGTGAGATAATGGCATAAATATTTTGAAAAGTGGAAGTAAGTTAGAATATTTGAACTTTTGGTACAAAAATGTTACATTTATGTAATGCCCCTTCCATTTCAATTGCAATGCAAGATACAGCTAGCATTACTACAGCTTAAGACAGTGCAGAGTTTCCAGCTAAACTGGACAGGTGGGATTTAGAACTTGGCGCTCCTTCAGGTAGTTGTGTTGCTGTGTATTTTTTGCAGCAGCCCTCTCAGCAAAATGGTTTTAATGACATACATTTGCCGGTAGCCAGTCTACAGGGAGGCTCTCTTGGTAACGGTGTTATGCCATCTTTATGTAGTAGGTGTCGGCTCTTTTTGAAGTTTCAGTTCAGAGGGTCTTCAGTTGCTTCACCAAATAGACCCAATTTTATGACACAAAGGAAAGCTCTTGATATTTCCATCTGTACAAGCTTGGTTCTTAGTCTCTTGTTAGTCTAGAGATGTTTAGATGGATGTATGTTGTCTTCTGGCCAATTTAGAGTTTAACAGGTGTATTAGGTAAGTACATAAAAGATTGCCCTAGTTATATTAGAAAAGACAACCTTATTGTAACATATTAGAGATAGTTGTGTTAGCTCTGATATTGCTTGCAGAGTAGAATTTTAGGATTATTTTGTATTGCTATTTTGTACTTGATTAAAATTAGGTTTTGCTGACATTCTTTTATGTATGTATGTATATGTTTGTTATATTGTGGGCCCAAACTTTTTCTATGCACCAAAGTTTGTAGGTTAGGTACCTCAAAATTGATTATGCCTGATTGTTCTTGCATTTTAGTCACCCTGTCTGACATATTACAGGGTTGGACATTTCAAAGTTTTCAAAAATTCATTTGCCCCATCAGGCCACCATCAAAATTACCTGTATAAATTATAATGTCGCGTGCATTATTTACCAAAACAAGGGTATTTACTGACTTGATTTTCTGAAAAAAAAGGCATGCTTTTAACGGTCGGGCATCAACATACAATGTAATGTCTTTATGGGAAACATGTACATGTAATTTTACTCCAAACACTTTACTGGAAGCATAATGCCACATCCAAAAATTTACTTGCCAAGCGAGCAAGTCTAGGGGGATATAGATACTTGCTCAAACAGTGTTTTTACTTGATCTGGGCAAGTAGGCTTGTCCTACCCTGTATTATCCCACCTATCAGTCAAATAGCCCTACTTGTAAACTGGGTCCATGTTTGTATTCATCGTTTATCACCAGCGATCGTTGTTCCCATTTTTCCTTGTTCCTGCCACCATGCAGGCTTTGATGAAGTAAGCGCTCGCTGCCCTATTGATTCTCTCCCACCCTGCTCTGATAACCAGCACTTGTCATCGGCAGTTTGGAAAATAGAATGAAGACGTATCATACAGTCTTTAAATTTACTCAAGTGGTTCTTGAATTCACCTGCTTTTTTTTCTGATTTGCAAAAAAAACAGTATTCAGGCTCTGAATCAACTCCAAAATGGCCACAATGGTTTAAGTCCTTTAGTTGTAACAGTTAAAGCTCTATCTATCAATGCCGTGGTTAGATTTTAAGTTTTAAAACTCATTGTTTGAATTATAAACCAAGATTTGTGTTACCTTGTACAAAAAATTATTTTTCTTGTAAAAAAATCTCTAGATTTTAAAAGATCTCTTTTGTATTAATGTCTTGCCAAATCCAAAAAGACCATCAATAAAATCAAAACTTGTTACATTGATGAAAAACATTATGAAAACCTCCTCTTGTGGTCTGCCTGTAAAGTCATTACCTCGTCCTTTCACTCTAATTGAGAAGCCACACATGAAAGGAGCGAGCCTTCGTCCCCTTCCATAATTGAATGATATTTGCAGTAATAGAGTTATTAATAATTCCTAATGAAATCTTCGTCAACCCACTACAGCCCTTTCTGATCGTGCTTTAGTAGGAGGATCCAAACAAGTCCCCCTCCCTTCCCCTATCCATCGAGGTGAATTACCGGGATTGATTCTGTGCTGTGGATTGACTACCAAGGCTGGTGCTAGCGTCCCAGTCATCCCAGTCAATAACAATATTGCCGCAGCCTTGATTTTTATGTCCAGGAACGGCACAGAGAGAGGAAAATCAATACGCCCATTTGGATGCAAAACACTCGCAAAACGGCGGCGACAGAAAGGAGGGCAGTAACACTGTGAATCCGGAGCGTCACGGTCAGACGCACAGACCTCTCCGCTATTCCTCATTTCCTATTCATTAAAATTGGTTGTTGTCATTATGGAAATGGCCGGTACAGGTCTGCCCTGGAGACCCCACGGGAGCAAACCTGGCGGAAAATAAAACGTACCGTCTCCGCCCCGCTGTTCGGACCAGACCCTCTACGAAAGCCTGCCCTGTGAACTGGTGGGTCTTCTCTCGCAGATTGCCCGGGCTCAGCCCAATTGGCCTTGTGTAGAGTTGGTTAACACCCGGGGCCTTGAGAGAAGAGTGTTGCAGCTCCCGTAGACTCCAGCAGTGGTGTGTTTTTTATCCCAGATTTGTACTGGAGATCAACAGTCTGGTTAGTGTGGTTGGCAGGTGGTTTAATATGTCTGGGCAACACACATGACTGTCTGACTTGTCTCAGGAAATTATGTACATTATTTAGGTTCAACAGTTGTTGAATGAGCTTAGATTTCTTTTGATCCTGTATTCTTAGTTATATCACCCTGTTTCTTATTAGGATTATAATTGAACAAAAAATTGAAGCTGTTGTATGCCATTCACAATTTAGTCTATCAAAGATTTCACTGAAAGAAACACAATGGTTTTTGTTTGAAGTAAATTGAACTTTGTCTTTTATGATATAAATCGTGTATAAAATTGTGTGTAGAGTATAATGTAAGTCTAGATGTATAGGGCAAATGGAAGAGTTACAGACGTATCAAGCTCAATATCCTGGAAAATTTAATATGTCTATGTAAATTATATCTGGGCAGTATGGTAATGATGCATATGATGATAACAATATGATGATAATGCTTCAATTGTCATCATATTATTTTATGCAATTGATAGGCATTAAGAAGGGAACATTTGCAAAGTGTGTATGTACTCACACTTCTGGAGTTGATATATATTTATTTAGGTTTTAAGTGATAATAATTAGTACACAAGCATTATTATAACTGTCAGAAGACGAGGAACAACAGATGATAAACCAGATATTAAGTAAGTGAGTACATAGGATAGAAAACAAGATGTGGAAAATTATGTACTTCATCTCTGTCTTTTCTTTGCAGAAAAGTTCAGGATAGAAATTATTCCCAAGGATCCCATGTTTGTGCAGTTATCAGAAGGGCATGTAATAAGCTGTCAGATTTCATAAATGATAATCAATTGAAACTCAGTCACTATGATATCGTTATGTGATATAACGAGGTATGATGAAGACCCTTCAGGGCATGTATCAGTGGAGTATGGTACTTGTTGAAAGGTCAAAATGGCATTGCCCTTAGCTGTTTTGTAATATACAGTGTTTGTTATATAACTAAGTCTAGGATATAACTTCCAGTTCATTTAGGAGTTCAGTGTTTAATTCATTCCCTAATGTGTATCTACTATATTAGTTTATACTTGTTTTAATCCACTTGTAATTAGTCCTTTGTGCATGCTAAGCTACCTATTACATGTTAGGTTACAAAATATCATACCATATGAGTGTGTTTAAAAGTTTGAAACACAGCTGTCAGTCACGTTTGTTGACATTCTGGTACTTTATGGTGGTGCCACAAAATAAGTGTGGCTCGTGTAGGCTGTTTTTATTATTAACCATTAATGTTACAAATACAAAATGATACTGTCAATATTCCAATTGTGTTGGAAGTAAATGACAATCACATCATGATGATTTTATAAATTTTAGATATTTGGTGAAAAAAGAGTGTTACATAATGCCCCTGTAAGAATATATCTAGATGTTATGTCAGCTTTGCAGACACCTTTGTGCTCTGAAGGCTGCTACTATTTCCCTCAACCCCCAGGCTCAGCTGTAGTCTTACTGATTAGCCCTAACCTTTCCAGACTGTTTGATCTAATCCTTACTGTGTTTCTGATTTCACAGGAGGCCCGGCTAAACTCCAGTGGGGGTCTTAAGAGCGCAGGCACTGAAAAAGTGGAGATCATCCTTAAGGTAAGACCATCTTCTCAAGTCTTATATGTGTGAAGAAATCTTATTCTAATGTTTTAGCCATGACTTTAGGTGTGATATATTGGTATTCACCGTCTTTCAATGTGATATGTGTTTTGGCAGTGACTTTTATATGTGATCGATCTTGGCCATGACTTTCTATGTGATATGTGGAGAGAATGAATGAAAGAAAAATTTGCTTCAGAAATGAGTGATAATAACTTGAGGAAAGGACATTTAGACAGAGATTTAGAATTAGATCTCGAAGTATATTCTAACATCAACCAATCACAGCCTTACTCTGACATCAACCAATCTCAGACAGCATTACTCTCTCTGACATTAACCAATCACAGACAGCCTTACTCAGAAATCAACCAATCACAGATAGTTGTACTTTTTTCATCACATAATCATTCATAGAAATAATTCGCTGTATCAATAGTGTAGCTGTCCTTTCTATTTTGCCCTTATCTATTCAGTACTGCTTTGATCCCCCCCCCATCCCCAGGAAAAAAAAATGAAAAAAAATGACATCATAAAGGATGTCAGTCTCAAATAATCATTACAGTTAACTAGTTTGGAATGTCATTCAGTGTTTCTATTTGTCTGTGGATCGAAGCTAATCCTAGTAGGACCACACAGTCATGTAAATGTGTCGGTATTTTCCATGCTTTAAATTCCTGGCACTTAAGTTTGTGTACACATGAGTAAAAGAGGTGGCGGTAGGTCAAATTCTCAGTCTAAGACTGGAACTGGAGATCGTAAATATGTTCTTAAGCTTTCTTTCTCTCTCACAGGATGCCAAGTACACAGAGGATTATACATTCATTATTACCTTCGCCAAGAAGGTTATGTTTTCAGGGGCGTTCGTGTGTGTGTCTGTCTGTCTGTAAACACGATAACTTGAGAATGCTTAAATGGATTGACTTGATATTTGGTAGGTGGGTAGGTCTTGATGAGACCTCAAAATGATTTGATTTTGGGGCCCCTGGTGACTTGTTATTGTACTGCAGTTGAACTTCTGGTTTTGATATCTCATGATCACATTGTTTCTTTCTAAGCCTTCTCGAGTTATGCTGTTGACGAACACAGACATACATGCAGCCATGAAAACATAACCTTGGCGAAGGTATGGCGAAGGTAATAACATCTGTGACTGGTGTGTTACGCCAAAAGGTGGTTATACCGGCTATACAGATACAGATACACACTCTTTGTCATTGCTTAACAGTTAACTGATGTTTCATTTTCAGGTTACAAAGAAGTCTAGCATGATAACTGCTTCTTCCATTCTAGCATCACTAACTGCTTCAACAGCAGGAACTTGTACCGTTTTTAAGCTTGTCCGTTCAAGTAATGTTCAGCATACTTTGTGAAGCAGTGTTATCCCTACAGACTTGTTGGTAAGGCCTTCAGATTGAAGCAGCACTCAGTATGGATGGTACTTAGAAGATCACCGTACAGCCTAATAATAGTTCCCTGTGAGCTTGAATGGATAGCCTATTGTGAGACTGTAACCCTGTGACTGTGAACTGCAAATATTGCACAAAATGTTAATATTTTAGCCCCAACAGGTGAAGTCCATGTTGTTAGTAATGTTACAGTTTTTCCATCTCTCAATCCAGTGGTTTGATAGAAGTTTGAAACTTCATTGTTTGAATTATAAACCAACCTGGCATGTCACCTTCATGACTTACTCTACAATGATCGTAGCATTTGGGGCTATCATGGGATTCCTAGTTCGTTTGTTTTTTTTCCTTCACGCTTCATATTCTTTCTAAAAGGTCCAAGACTCCAAGAACCAGCAAATTAAATTGGTGTGACCTAATATAATTTTGCAACAATTGCAAATGCAACAATACCTCATGAACCAGTGTTAAGATGGGGAGGGGGACATGTCTTGAATTAACCTACTCCTCACCAGGTTTCTTACATATTGATTATTCAATAAATGCACTTGGGTGTTGCTGACTGGTGCGGTGTCAAGGCTAGGAGGTAATAGACTTGCATGAGGCTGGTACGGATCACTTGTGTTCTGTCTTTTGTATGCATACACGGTGGCTTTGGGATGGCCCTTTGATCTTTGGGAAGATTGGGAGGGGGGCGTTCGTAATTAGTCATCTTTGTTTCCCTTATTCAACAGTTCTGGATTTGAATTTGTGGGAGGGATGTTGAGCCCTGAGGATTTTACAGGCAGACAAATTTTTCTGCCAGTTTTTGATGTAGAATATTTTGAATTGAAATTGTCAAGTTCAAATTTACTCAGTGGTTGGTAGGTTGGTTGGTCGGTCGGTTGTCTTCTTGGTTGGTTCCTTGGTTGGCTGCTTTGTTGATTTTGCTTGCTTGTTTCTTGGTTTTTAGTGGTTACTTAAATCTAATGTACTTAAATCCAATTTGAAGATTTCTTGTGTACTGAAACTTAATATTTTGAAAGATTTAAGATTTTGGAAATTTACTCAGCCATTTAACATGAACTGAGCTAACCTTTCGTTTTTGCGTAACTGTCCTGGTATGGTCTGCTCACAGTGTCCTTGGTTATGGACATTACCTTATAAGTACCTGTGCTGGTTTAGTCCTCAGCCCAATCAGTCTGAAAGGTTACCAGTTACACAGGTGGGCTTCCCAGAGAATACCCCACATGTTTCACTTCGTTTTGCTGTGACTAATCTGTTTCCCTCCTATTGTAAATTAAAGAATTTAACCGCTGCAAAATTTTCATGATTTACACTAATTACAGTAGCTGTTATGTATAACATGTGTTAACATCATTCTCTGCTCTTCATCAGTCACAACCCCACAGTGTGGGTGAAACACTTTCTGCTCCTTTGTCACCACAAATCCTCCCGGAGATCGAACACGTCTCTTTCACCCTAAGGAACCCTTATATAAGATGTGATTCCATGTAAGGAGTTTTTAATTGCTTTCACTGGAAGGAAGAAAGGAAGCCGTCACTCCCGGGGGCGGCTGGGCATCTTTCACCTGATGTTGTTCTACAAATGAAATGAAATCAATTAAGCAAGGCTTTGTCCAAACTGTGTGTCTCTGGTACTTTGTTTTGCTTAGAATTAGTAGCTTGCACTAGGAGACGTATGCTTATACGTGTAGCATATGTTGTCTGTTAGGCCTCAGCTTGGATCCAAAGGTTTAGAGTTCTAATCTAGGCTGCAGGCATACTTCTGAGTCAATGAATCATCAGTGGGATTTTTTCCCCAAGGCTCAAAATATTGTTTTTTCTTATTCCTGCACTGTTATGTTGAAAATGGCCTACAGACAGATTTTGCCTGCACCACTCGAAATTCTGGTAGTATCCTATATTTACCCTAAAATGCCCGAGAACCGAAATGAAAAAAAATGGTGTAGCTTAAAGACTTTAGTTGGTGTTTTTTTTTAAATCTGACGTATGTACAAATCATTGATAGATGTTTTACCAGTAGCAGAATAAGTCCTTACTTAGGGAAAAATCTCCCCGTTGTACTTCACTCAACTCGTACAGAATCACTTCTTTTCAACCTGACGTTTTACTTGTGTATAAGATCACTCCTTGACGGATGTCGTCCTTTTGCGCACGATAAATACTTACGTAGGAAGGGACTCCCTGTTGTGCTTCACTTGAGAGGTGAGTAGCGCTGTGGGATAGGGTTTAGGATTACTCTGAGGACTGTTATTGTGCCTGGCAGTACTGACGTCACTGTAGGTTCATTGAGGACCGGTGGACGACAGCTTTTAATCTGAACACTGTTATTACTAATATCATAAAAAGGGAGGAACATAATGCATGAAAGAGAGTTCTGTTTAACTTTAAGATGTTGTAAAAGTGACATCCGTCACATTAGGCCCAGGAAAAAAATGTTGTGTTTCTTAAGAGTTTCCTGACCGACCCTAGAAAAAACTGCCAACCCTAGCTTTTTTTGTGTGTATCCCTGCAAGCGACATTAATTTTTCCAGCTGATCTGACCTTTTCTAGCTCCATGTTCTAACACCTGAGTGATAAAATATTGTACAATCGGTTTTCCAAGATTGACATTGAAAAAAAAAACTGTATTGTATAAGCTGGCTCACTCTAGAGACCTCCAAATCTAAAAAAAAAAGAAAGAAAAAAAAAGATAATCCCTACCTATACTGACCCTAATTTTTTTCAGGACTGAAACAGGAAACACCTTTTGTCCTAGGCCTTACGGTTCCAAATGCTCCCAAAACAAAATCCAAATTCCAAGTAAAAACCTTAACTTGAGTAATACATTTCCAAAAAATATTTCCAGTACTTCAGGTGATACACAGCCTCTAGGACTATCAGAAAGGTTCTTAGCACATTGTGTCTTCAGTCGTCTTCAGCTTGGAATAATATCTTTACCTTTCAGAGTGTTGACAGCTTGCTCCCAGGGTGATTTCAGCATCCTGTGGTGATAGGAAAACAGCATTAAATATGGACTTTGATAGATTTCTCAGGTCTTCCAGTACACTACATTTAGAGACCTTAGCTGCAAGATTCTGATCTCTCTTCCATGATTGATATTGTAATTTTTCGCATGTTGCATTTGAAGTAGGTCAGGGCATACAACTATGGCTATCTGATGTAACTGATTATGTTTCATTTCGGTTATGGGTTATGTTAGGCCTCACTTATCTTAGACTTAATGCATTATGTAAATTTTTGCACAAAACATTGAAATATTTTGATTGGAAAAAATCTTGATGTGATTGTCATTTAGTTAAACTTTTCAGCATATTTGAGCAATGATTATTATAAAACACTTTTGACGTTTATGTTTGGTGCTAGAACAGCCTACATGATGTGCATTAATTTTGAATTTTGGGCACCACCACAAAATACCAGAACGTAAACAAATATGACTGACAGCTGTATTTCCAGTTCGGATCCTGGCTGTTGTTTATCACTTGACTTGTGTTTCACTGGAAAGCCTTGACCCACTGTGCATTGTCCTTGTCAAAATGAGCTAGGGGGAATTTCCCCAGTACAATGTACTGGCAAATACTGTACA